GAACCAGAAGAATGGGAGTATTATATGGAGAATTAATAGGGACCAAAATATTGTGTCTTAACAGACAATTGATGATAGGCTGAGTCCAAAAAGGGCCTCTTTAGATAAGGGAAACTGCGGGCGCGACGGAAAACTGTCAGTTTTTTAAAGGCAGATTTTAATCAGTGTATGATGGAGGGCTATTACAGTTGTGGATATATCCCATACCTGAGGGTTTACTTCAGATAGAAAAGCTGGCAGAGAGGTAGGAGGAGCAGCTGGCTCCAGGGTGGCTATAGCGGCAAAAAGGAGATGGGCAGCGTGCAGCTGCTGAGGTATTAGGGAAATGGAGGCCTTAAGGCATAGTAAAATGTCATGTCCGAGCAACAGAACAGGACATGAAGGGATTGTTAGGAATGAATGGGAGAAAGGGTATTAGTTTAACACACAAGGCAAAAGGGGTTTTGTTGGGTGTTGAGGAGGAGCCATCAATCCCCATTACAGTGATCGTGGAAGGAAGACTACGCCCAGCATATGAAGGAAGGATGGAGTAGGTAGCCCCCTGGTCCAATAAAAAAGAGGTGGACTTACCCGCTACCTGGATGGTGACTCTGGGCTCGGCTAGGGTTATTGGGGTATCCTAGTGCAGGCATCTTCGGTCTTCTTCAGCAAGCCCCAGAAGCTCACCAGCCAGGAAGGACTGTGCTGAGGCTCCGGCTGACCCCGGCTGTTGAGGCAGTCGGGGGAAGCCCGCAAGCAGACAGTCAGACTTCCAATGCCCTGTCTGGCGGCACACCGGGCATAGCTTGGCGGGGGGTTGGGAGTTTGGGAATTGGTGGGCCCAATGTTCATCCTTACCGCACTTAAAACAAGCCCCCGGAGGGGCTGCATCCCGTTTGGTGTGAGGACCTCTCGGCCCCTCCCCTGCTGGCCTCAGGGCAGCTACCAGAGCCTGGGTTTGCAGGGCCACCTTCTGCAGTAACCTGGACTGTCGGGCTGATTCTGCCATTTCCTCCCTGGTGTTAAACACTTTAAAGGCCGCTTTTACCAGGTCCTATAATGGGGTTTGTGGTCCCTCCTCTGCCTTTCTAAATTTTTTTCTTATATCTGGAGCTGACTGAGACATAAAGTGGGAGGCCAAGACAGCCGCCCCAGCAGGGGTCTTGGGGTACAGTTTTGTAAACTGGGTGAGGGCTTCCTGGAGGCGGTTTAGAAAAAGGGCAGAATTTTCATCCTTCCACTGTGTTACCTCTTTAAGTTTTTCAAAATTGACTACCTTGTTAGACGCCGTTTCCATCCCTTGTAGTAGGCACCGTACTAGCAAGTCGTGGCAGTGGCTACCCCCTGCTCCAGGCTGATAATTCCACCCCAGGTCCTCGGCAGGAACGGCTGTCTGGCCCACCAGCACACTATTGTCTACCAGGTGGGTCTGATCCACATACTGCCTAGCTGCAAGGTAGAAAGACTCTGTCCTTTTCATCAGGCGTTAAGGTGGAGGCTAGGATAACGTACATATCATGCCAGGTAAGATCATATGTCTGAGCTAAATATCGAAACTCCTTCATATAATTACTAGAGTTAGCAGAGAATGAACCCAGGCGCTTTTCGATTTGGGACAGGTCTTGGAGAGAAAATGGAGCATGGACTCGTGCCACCCCCTCCGCCCCTGCTGGTTCCCTAAGAGGCAGGAGGTGGGAACGAGTCTGTGCTGACACAGGAGAGACGATAGGAGAAACAGAGAGAGATGGCGGGGGAGGAGGGATGGGGAGGGCCTGGGCATAAGGCAGCGGAGGCTGGGAAGGAGGAGAAGGATTAGGAATCGGTCGAGGCAGGAGCCCAAGAGTGTCTGGCTCTTCAGTAAGCACAGAGGACGGTGCTAGTGTATGGTTGGGAGAGTCGGGGTTATTTTCAAGTTTTGATTTCGCCACCATGCTCCTTTCAGTTGATTTAGCTAAAAGGACCTGTGAGGTGGAACACTGGACGCATAGGGACGGGTGGGTTCGGAGATTCCAGAAAGCCTGAACATACGGAACCTCCGACCATTTTCCTGAATGGCGGCAAAAATTGTCCAAGTCAGTGAGAATGCCAAAATCGAAAGTTCCCCCGGAGGGCCACCTAGATTGGTTGTCTAAGGGGTATTGAGGCCACTCGGTGGTACACAGAAAGACTAGCCTTTTTTTGCAGAGGCTTTGGGAAAATCCTAGTTTGGAGAAATTTAGGAGGAGACAGCCCAAGGGAGTCTTAGGATTCGTTTTGGTCTCGGTATTTCCCATGATGCCCTGACACCCCGTAGAGTTATCCCCCAAGACAAGGCGTACCCTGTGTTAGAGAAAAATCTAAACGGAGGAGGTCCCCTGCTAGTGAGACGTCTCCCTGGTCACAGGGTCCCAAACGGAAGTGGAAAGCCGTCCCTGGCATGGCCGCAACACAGGACAGGTAGGCTCGGATGGAGAGGTGGTGGGGCAGGACTTACCAGAGTCCAAAACTGATCCTGCCGTTCTTGACTGCCGAGGTTCAGTTGTAGAAGAGTCCCTGGGGGGGGCTAGCCCCTCACCACTGAGGGGGTCCTTACCCGAGTTTTGGCACCAATGTAAGGTCGTCAAGAGGTGCCAGAGACCAAAATCAGTCAAATTAAAACAAACAGACTTTATTAGGGAGAAAAAACCCAGCCTGGGCGAAGTCCCACAGTCCACAATGTCCGGGCTCGGGGAGTCGCACTGCAGGCTACAGGGATGATGCTTATATACGGACAGGTATGTCCGGGTTTCTGGAATGTAAGGTGTCTTCCTGGTTCCGGGTGTATTCGTGCTGGGTGCAGAGCAGCGGGCTGAGAACAAAGCAGGCACTGAGCCAAACGGGCCCTGCCGGTGCCGGGTGCAGAGCAGCGGGCTGAGAACAAAGCAGGCACTGAGCCAAACGGGCTGTGCCGGGTGCAGAGTGGAGGGTCGAAGCAAAGCGGGTGCTGAGCCAAATGGGCCGTGCCGGTGCCGGTGCCGGGTGCAGAGCTGCAGGCCGAGAACAAAGCGGGCACTGACCCAAACAGGCAGTGAACAAAATGGGCTGTGAGCAAAACAGGCCGTGAATAAAAGAAAGAAAAATAACCTTGCCAAGCTGCTTTACATTAGCCAGCTCTGGTCAGCTCCGTAGGCGTGTGTGGGAGATTCAAGGTCACACCGCTCCTCTATCTGTCTCCAGGCAGGTCCGCCCACATGCAGCCACCTACGAGTACCGGGCATGAAGACTATTACCCATGCTACACCGTGCTTCAAGACAAAATTTCATTTGTAATTAGAAATATTTCACAATATATAATTAGAAGAATTCACAATATATATTGTGAAATAAATAGTTCACCATATATAGTTACATATTGTTTTGTGATTAATCACTATGCTTTAATTATGTTCAATTTGTAACAATGAAAATACATCCTGCATATCAGATATTTACATGATGATTCCTAACAGTAGCAAAATTACAGTTATGAAGTAGCAACGAAAATAATTTTATGGTGTGGGGGGGGGCGGTGACCACCACATGAGAAACTGTATGGAAGGGTCTAGGCATTAGGAAGGTTGAGAACCACTGCTTTACAGGATCATATCATCTGCAAATAGAAATAATTTTACTTCTTATTTTCCCATCTAGATACCTTTCAGTTCTTTTTCTTGTCTTATTTCTCTGGCTAGTACTTGTGATACAATACTGCATGAAAATGGTGAGGGCAGGCAGTCTTGCCTTGTTCCTGAGTCTGTCCGGGACACCATTCCCAGAAGTTAGCATTTCCCTGGATGGGGTGCTGGATTCTTGATGTGGCAATTGCTTGTTTCTATTTTAAGCTTACCTTAGTTTTCCGGAAGCATGTGTGGTAACTGTCTCTTCTTTTCCGTGGAAGGTCACGTGGCCACACACTGGACTCCGTTTGTTTTCAAAGCACACTCGGCAACAGCAAGGCCACATGCTCACGTGCTCACCAGTGAGAAGAAAGCCGCGTTGATACCCAGGGCTCTCCCTCAATCTCTCAGCCTCTAACCCTTTCCCACCTCTTTTTCCTGTCCTCTTCCCTATCCTACGGTTCAGGAAGTCTTTCCCCCCTAGATTGCTTGCTTGAGGGTATGAGTATAGTAATCACTGTAATGCTTGGACCCCTGGAGTCATTAATAACTCCTCACAACCATCTTGCATGGTCATCATTTTATTTCCAGTTTGAGGAGGAGGATGCTTCCATGAGCCGCCCAAGGTCAGGCAGCTCATATGGGGTGGCACTTTCAGAACCAAGTCTGTCCAATGACCAAGTCCGTGCTCTCCCTTTGTCCTCCACTGCCCTTCCAGTGCCCTCTAATGGGTGCATCTTGCCAACGCGACAGAATCTCCATTTGGAAATGTTCTCAGAATACCTGTATGGCAGGTGCGTACAGCCAAATGAGCTGTGTAGTCTCTGGCTTCGAGGAGCATGCAGGTCAGAATAAGGGCTGTGTATATTCTTATCTCAAAGGGGAGCATTTCTGGGCACACATGTAAGATGGAGGTTAATACCTGGTTAATTAATGGATTGGATGCTGCTATAAATCTGACTGGGAAAAAAATAAAAAAGAATTTCTATTTTGCTTGACTTCTCAGCTGCCAGAGGAATTCCATTGGGAATTGTAAATTATTGGCAGGATGGACCCGTCCTGTATGTGGTAGTTCCTAGACAGACGAACGCACCACGTACCCAAGAGAGCCCTAGCCCAGGTAAGGTGTGGGGGAGATTCTTTCTGGGAGACGGCAGCATTTTCCAGGGGACCAAAGATGTCTTCAGTGCCAACTTGGCTATGACAGACACAGCAGGGATCGAGGGCATCAGAAAATGGTCACGTCTAGGGCTTCATTTCCTGTCTGAAACCCGTTGGCCAGCCATCAAGTAACTGGGCCTTTATTTCTAGCATTCTTTTGATTATTATAAACAAGCATGGGACATATCAACCAATTGAAGCAAGAGTAGAAAACCCATGCTCCTATCTGCTTCCCCTTCCTGGTTCACACAAGCCTGGCCGTCATGCCTTGGTCACATCTGTCAACCTGACTGAGAACGTCAGCCCTGGGCTTCATGCCCCATATCTGTTAACTATTGTTCCTATCTAGTGCTGATAAGTAAGGCTCTTGGGAGGTTCTGATCAGTGATTATCCAGTGTGGTTTTCTGCCTTTCGTGGGCCTCCAGGAGTCTCCCAGCAGGCTTCCAAGAGACTCCCAAATGCTGGTCCATTCTCGGGTTCTCACTAGAGCATCCTGGCGTGTTCAAGGGCTTTTAGTTTTGTTTACAACTAAAGGCTACTTATTCATATTCTTAACTGTTATCTTGGTTTTTAAGAGTTATTAACATCAAGTGTTTATTAATCATCAAAAAGGAAATGTTGAAGGATTTTCAGTTCATTTAAAATTTTTGAGATCAGTGGCCATTCACCTACAATTGTAAGAAATGATACAGAGAGAGTCCTTATAGCGTTTATCTAGTTCCTCTTAAGGCAACATCTGTTCAACTGTAGTCCAGTATCACAAGCAGGATACTGACATGGATACTGAGCAAACTGACCGAAGTGATGCCGTTTTGTTGAATGACATGCCTTTGTCCCCGCATCATGGAAAGTCCCGCTAGTGATTGGATTTAGAATGGACTCTTATGTTCCCGAGATCAGGACATTGTAATTAATCTCATTAGTTTTCAATATTGTTCCTTTCGATGTTGTAATCCGAATATTGTGATTAATTTTGTTATTCTTTAATATTGTTTCTTTTTGATGTTACAATCATTCCTGTACCGCGAAATGCTCACTCACTCTAAAGAATGATAGCATTAATTTTGCTTTCTACTTTTGTCATGCCTGCTCACTCTATAGAAAGTTCCTGCTTGTAAAAGCTGGCTAATATCGCCACTTGGGACTGCAGTCTAAAGAATTGCTTTTAGATTCTTGCAGTCTGTTTACAACCAAATAAAAGACTCTTCTAAATTTCAAGGCATTATAGTGGCTGTCATTGATTTGAACCCGCAACAGTACACTTAAATACACTTAAATACGCTTGCTTCACCCAAGATTCGCTCCTGTTGCCTTTTGATAGCCATAGCTACTCCCCTCCTGCACCCTCTCCTTAACTCATGGCAACCACTAAACCTCTTTATTTCTGTATTTCTGACGTTTCAAGAGTGGTAGGTCAATGTCATCCTGCAGTCCATAACCTTTGGGGATAGGCCTCTTTTGCACTTGGCAAAATTTCCTGGAGATTCATCCAGGTTGTTTCTTGTATCGATAGTTTGTTCTTCTCTAGTATTGAGTAGGAGGTAGCATCTGTTTTGATCTCCAGCCAATGCACAGCTGTTGTTGGAGGCGTGCATGTGATTGTGGTACTGTCGACTAGATGGAACTACTTCCAAAGCAGCCGAGGAAAAACCCTGTGGGTCACAATGGGACATTGCTTGGCAACAAATTATGGGGCAGCAGGTCATTCTGTTGTGTGTGGGATCACCACGGGTTGGGGTCCACTCAAGGGTAGCTGGAAACAGAGCATGCATTTTGTATGGACTTACCACAATTTCTTTAAAGCCATTCAGCACTGGAACAATATCCGGGTTGTGTTGCAGTGCAAAGGCGACAAGTCTGTTGAAAGTGAAAGCACAGAGTTTGATGAATGGCAAAAGGTGTTTTGCAAATCAGAGAAGCAGAGTCAAGACACTCTTTGTGGAAGTGCTTTAAGACGGCGCAGTGTTAGCTCCCCACCATCGAGTCCATTCTGACTCACAGGGACCCTATAGGACAGAGTACAACTGCCTCCGTGGGTTTCCAAGGCTGTAAATCTTCATCAAAGCAAAAGACCTCCCAAGGAGCACCCGGTGGGTTTGAACTACCAACTATGCGGTTAGCAGTCCAACCTGACAGAGCCACCAAGACCCCTGATTAGTCTAGGTACTTTAGAGAAGCAAATGTCCGCGTGGGTTCTAACTCCACTCCTGGTACCATAATGTGTTAGTCTG